TAATGTGTTCTTTGGCCTTCATCTTTTCCGCCTTCCTTCAGGATTCCAAGTAAGGGCTTGTCTCGTGATGCAGTTTGATGATTTGCGTAATGTATGTCCTATCCATTTCCATCGTCTTTTCCTAATTTTTTCTTCAGCTGGAAGTTGGTTTGTTCTCTCCCAAAGTTGGCTGTTGCTGATGGTATCCAGCCAATGGATGTTGAGTATCTTGCTCAGACAGCTATTTATAAATACTTGCACCTACTTGATGGTGGCTGTTGTAGTTCTCCAAGTTTCAGCTCCATACAGTAGAACTGCCTTGACATTCGTATTGAAGATTCTCACTTTGATATTGGTTGAAAGTTGTTTTGAGTTCCATATGTTCTTTAATTGTAGGAATGCGACTCTTGCTTTGCCGATCCTCGCCTTTACGTCTGCATCTGAACCTCCTTGTCCATCGACGATGCTTCCTAGGTATGTGAAGGATTCTACATCTTCCAGAGTTTCGCCATCAAGAGTGATTGGATTGCTGTTCTCCGCTTTGAATTTGAGGACCTTCGTTTTCCCTTTGTGTATACTGAGGCCTACTGATGCAGAGACTGCTGCTACACTGGCTGTCTTCATCTGCATCTGCTCGTGTGTACGTGATAGGAGAGCTAGGTCATCTGCGAAGTCCAGATCGTCTAATTGGTTCTGAGCTGTCTATTGTATGCCGTGTTTTCCTTCAGATGTCGAGGTCTTCATAATCCAGTCGACCACCAGAAGAAAGAGGAAGGGAGAGAGTAAACAGCCTTGTCTGACTCCGGTCCTTACTTGGAATGCATCTCTCAGCCGTCCTCCATGCACTACTTTGCACTGTAGTTCGTTGTATGAGTTCCGGATAATATTGACAATCCTCTCAGGAACTCCGTAGTGTCGAAGGAGTTTCCATAACGTTCTCCTATCTACACTGTCGAATGCCTTTTCATAATCAATGAGGTTGATGAACAGTGACGAGTCCCACTTAACTGATTGATCAACGATGATCCGTAGTGTCGCTATTCGGTTTGTGCACGACCGATCCTTACAGAATCCAGCTTCTTGATCTCGAAGTTGGGAGTTTACTGCGTTGTTCATCCGGTTCAGGAACACTCGTTTAATGGCCTGCCTTCTTTGTACCTGACCGGTCTCTCTGGTTTACCATATTTCCCTGCTAGTTTCTTCGTTGTATCGTAAAGCTGTTTCATATTTCCTTCTCTTGCTAGTTTTTCCACGTATTTCTGCTTGTCGGCTTCAATGCTTCTTTTCACTTGCTAATTTGCTTCTATGTACTCAACTTGTGCTTGGACCGTCCTTGCTTGTGTTCGGCTGTTGTTAATTGCTGCTTTCTTGTTCTTCCTTTCTTTGATCTTGTCCAGTGTTTCTATAGAGATCCATTCCTTATGATGATGCTTCTTGAGGCCCAGTGTAGTGGCTGTGCTTCGTTAATTAATCACCCTCGAACCGTTATCGTATAATCTTCAACGATGTTTGAAATCAGAAGGCAAAAAGAAGCAGCTACTACAGTTTATTTAGTAGATAATTCGGACCAGACAGCAGAGAGGCAAAATGAATGAGCAAGCGAACTACGATTGTAGCAGTAGCAAGTAGTTGTAGTAGTAGTAGTAGTAGTGAATGGGTGCAAATGTACACATATATATATGTATAGGAAAATGGATGAGTCAGCGAATAGATTAAGCAGTTAATAATGAAGCTAGCAGAATGAATACATGCGTAGGCGCTAAACAATGTTCAAGCATATGTATTTCATACAAGCATAATAATAAAGATAATACAACAAGTTGTTATATCATGGATGATTTTGTCCATTAAATAGGTCAACAAAAGACCTTGACTGAACTAAACTCAATTGCACGTGAGTCACTATAATAGCTCCCCCCTGCAAACAAAGATATATGGAAAAATGTCTGTGTTTGCACAAAAAAAATAGTAAACTGAGTAGGGTAGTTACAGTCGTTTGAAAAAAATGGTTTGTACAAAATTAAGATGAAGTTAGTGTGTGCTGTACATTTGGTTTGCGCCCGTCCGTGAGGTTTTAAAAAATAATAGCAATAAATAGAAGGAATGCGGTATTGCTTTACATTTTAAATAAAAATTATACGTGTAAGTGTAGGGGTACATAAGATATGTTGAGTTTTATAGCGTATAACATGAAATTAGTAATGCATGTGTATACAATGAAGTGGAAGTTATAATTAATATTTTAAATAGTAGAAAATTATTAATAGAAGATTGTAGCGACATAATGTTGGGGCCATCTTACTCTTCGGCCAGACCTTGTCGTTACTGGATTCTCTTTGCTTGTGTTTGTCGATGTCGTTGATGATTGGAACTGACGCTTCGATGATTCAACGGTTTTCGCAGTATCTGTATGTACTGGCTGATCGTAGGCTTCGATGAAAGCTGGTTTGACTCGGTCGATGCTAATTACATCCGTTTTTCCAGCTTTTTCTACCGTGATAGTTTTGTCGTCTCGTTTAATCACCTTAAATGGACCATCGTAGGCTGGTTGTAAGGGACGTTGCACATTATCCCTTCTGATAAACACATGGGTACTGTCACTTAGTTGTTTGGGTATGTACACACGGCGTTGATGTTGTCTCGGAAGCGTTATCCTTAGACTACTCATATGCTGCTTAAGACGCTGTACATAGTCCGCTATATCAGTTGGATCGCTTTTACCTGCAGTGAAAAACTCTCCTGGCAGACGTAGTGTGGTTCCATAAACCAATTCTGCTGGGCAGCATTCTATATCTTGTTTGATTGTTGATCTTAAGCTCAACATGACTAACGGTAGCTTGCTGGCCCAATCGTTATTGCTGATGACAGCTGTAAGAGAAGCTTTAAGTTGCCGATGCAATCTCTCTACCATACCATTCGACATCGGATGGTAGGATGTTGTGCGAATTCGTTTGATTCCGAGTAGTTCTGTGAGTTGTTGGAAGAGGCGGCTCTCGAATTGAGCTCCTCTATCGGTTGTGATATTAGTAGGTACACCATAATGGGAAATCCAATGCTCTACTAGGGTTTTTGCGATAGTTTCGGCTGTAATATCTTTTATGGGCACAGCTACAGGCCATCGTGTGAATCTATCAATGCAAGTGAAAATGTAACTGAAACCATTCGAAACCGGCAGTGGTCCTATAATATCGATATGTACGTGCTCGAATCTGTTATCGGGATGACGGAAATGACCTACTGCGGAACTGGTGTGGCGATGTATCTTAACTCTCTGGCATTTTATACACGCTTGCGTCCAATTACGAATATCCCGATTCATACTTGGCCATACAAAACGTTCGCTGATTAGTTTGATGGTGGCCTTTATTCCGGGATGCGAAATATTGTGCATGGCTTCGAAAATGTTTCGCCTTAGCGGCTTTGGAATAAATGGTCTTGGTTGACCTGTAGAAATATCGCAGGTGATGCTTACTTCTTCCAATGGAGTTTCTTTGAGAACTAACGAGGTTGTGTTGGCAGACTTTAGTCTGTTTAACTCGACGTCGATATTTTGTAATGCTGCTAACTTGTGATAATCGATTTCGGACTGGACGAGAGCGTTGACCATCGTTCTGGATAGCGCGTCTGCCACTTCGTTACTATTGCCTTTGACATACTGTATGTTAGACGTGAATTGGGAAATAAATTCTAATTGTCGGATTTCCCTCGGCGAGTAGTTGTCCTGTTTGGCGTTCAATGCTTTTGTGAGGGGTTTATGGTCTGTATATACTGTGAAAATGGTACCCTCAATCATATGTCGGAAATGTTTTATTGCCAAGTAAATCGCTAGGAGTTCTCTTCCGAAAGTACTATATCTTGTTTGTGTCGGATTCAGTCTTTTCGAAAAAATGAGAGCGGTTCCCATATGCCATTTACTAATTGTTGTAAAACGGCTCCTACCGCTACGTCTGATGCATCCGTCATGATAGCTAACGGTGTTTCGCTCTTTCGTCTAGTTAGTGTCACTTCTTTATTTAGTGCTTTTTTAGCGTTCTCGAATGCTTGGATCGCGTCTGGTGATAATTGGAATGTCCGTGCGTTTCCGCGTAATGCATCTGTTAGTGGTTGCAATATTGACGCGCAATTCGGGATAAATCGTCTGTAATAATTTATTAACCCGAGAAATCGGCGTAACTTTTTCCATGAGTCGGGTAGGGGATAATTCCTAATGGCGTCGACTTCTGTTGCTATTGGTGTGATGCCTTGAGAAGTTATATTGTGACCTAGGAACTGTAAAGATTCTTTTCCGAATTCACACTTCTCAATATTTATAGAAATGCCGTGTTCTCTGAGTCGCATAAATAATTGCCGTAGTTGTTGCATATGCTCATCCTTAGTGGTGCTAGCTACTAATAAATCGTCGATATACGCGTATACCCCAGGTAAACCTCTAATGACCTGGTCGATAAACCGCTGAAAGGTTTGTGCCGCGTTAGTCAGTCCAAAAGGCATACGCAGGAATTCATATAGCCCAAATGGGGTTGTTACTGCTGTCTTCGGTATGTCTTGTGGGGCAACAGGGATGTGGTAGTATGCTCTGACTAAGTCGATCTTCGAGAAGATAGTAGTGCCTTCTATACTGTAGGTGAAATCATGAATGTGCGGTATAGGATATCTGTCAGCTACCGTTTGTTTGTTTAGTGCTCTGTAATCCCCACATGGCCTAACCTCTCCATTCTTTTTCGGGGCCATATGTAGCGGGGATGCCCACGGGCTGTTCGATGGCCTTATAATGCCTAGCCTCATTAGCTTGTCGAATTCCTGTTTTGCGATGGCTAGTCTTTTGGGATCTAACCTTCTTGGTCTTGCATTGATTGGTGGACCATTCGTTACGATGTGATGCTGAATAGAATGTTTGAGATCCGCTTTATTGTATGTTACTTTTACGAGTTCAGGGAACTCCCTTAACAACAATTTATATGGATCACCACAACTTTTATCTATCACAAGGTTCATTGAAACGGCTTCCGTAAGTATTCCTCTTATCGAAGTGGTTTGACTGCCGTTTATAAGTCTGTGTCGTCTAGAGTCTACTAGCAGGTCAAAGTTACATAAGAAATCTATGCCTATTATGGGCATCGATACGTCTGCTATGACAAAGTTCCAACGGTATGAAGCGCCACGTCCAAAATCTAGGGACAATTTCCGTTTACCATATGTCTTAATATCTGATTTGTTTGCTGCTCTTAGCACTAACGACGGGTTAATGTTTTTTCTTTCCTCGTTAAATGGAGGTACTACGCTAATTTCCGCTCCAGTGTCAACTAAGAATTGTGCGCCAGTGGTCCGGTCTTGTATATAAAAGAGGCGACTATTTTCAGGCATTATGTGTGTTGATGCTGTTGCCATTGATACTCGTGGGTATCGGTTACTATTCCTGTTAAATCTACAAGGTTGTAGGCACTTTCTGGCCCTGTAGCCGAACATTTGATGATACCAACATATCGCGGGAGTTGTGCGTCGTCTAGAAGTTGACCGGGTCCTTTCACGCGAACGATCTCGCGATGACCTTCGTGGCTTTTCTCTCTGCGTTAACTCTGAGAGTTTTCGGCACAAAACATTTATTTCCTTCTGTAGAGTATCAAGTCTATCGTCTACCGTCACATTGTGTAGTGGAGGGCTTGCTTGCTTGCTTCTTTCGTATATTCTATCGGCTATCTTTGCTATATTGTCTAAATCAGCATCCGTATCTCCCACAGCTAGGATCTGCTGTATATTTGCAGGGAGTCGGCGGAGCCACAGTTGATAAAAGAGATTATTGTCAATGTGTCTATCGCCAAGTAAACTTTTCATATAATTTTTTAGTTGTGATGGGGTTCTATCTCCATTTGTACTTGGTTAAGAAGTTGTTCGACGGCTTGTTGGTCACTGAGAGAGAGAGTTTTAATTACAGCCTCTTTTAGCACGTCGTATGGTTTTTCTGTGTCTGGTTTTGCTAGTGCCTCTCGAACGCTGTCAGCTACTTCGTCTGGGAGTAGTGTGCTTGTCAGGCCGAACTTATCCTTTTGCAAAAGAATGCGGTTAGCGAGAAAATAATTTTCAAGTCTTATAAACCAAAGTTTTGGGTCTGCGATTTTAAAAGAAGGGGCAGGGAGGTTAAGAGACCTCACGGACGAGGCTTGCTGTACGCTTGAAACTGTGTTTTCATAAGACATGCTTATAAAAATTAAGTAGCACACGAAAATACTTTAACAATCACAAGGAAAAATAGACGGGTGAAAACAATGATAATAAAAAAATGGCACAATTTATAAAATGGAACAGACTTACTAAATTGCACCAATATATCAATTGTTTATGAATAATTGTTATTTATTATGATTATAATTGTCACGTTTAATAATGTTTGCGAAATAATGTAAGTGTAATTAAAATAATAATATAAATCCACAGTTGTAATTATAGTTCATTTAATAATCCAAATTGAGATGAAGGTAGTCGGATTTTTGGAATTTGATTATTTCGTCAAAATTCGCTTCCCGTTCTCACGTCGGGATTACCAATTCTGTAGTGGCTGTGCTTCGTTAATTAATCACCCTCGAACCGTTATCGTATAATCTTCAACGATGTTTGAAATCAGAAGGCAAATAGAAGCAGCTACTACAGTTTATTTAGTAGATAATTCGGACCAGACAGCAGAGAGGCAAAATGAATGAGCAAGCGAACTACGATTGTAGCAGTAGCAAGTAGTTGTAGTAGTAGTAGTAGTAGTAGTGAATGGGTGCAAATGTACACATATATATATGTATAGGAAAATGGATGAGTCAGCGAATAGATTAAGCAGTTAATAATGAAGCTAGCAGAATGAATACATGCGTAGGCGCTAAACAATGTTCAAGCATATGTATTTCATACAAGCATAATAATAAAGATAATACAACAAGTTGTTATATCATGGATGATTTTGTCCATTAAATAGGTCAACAAAAGACCTTGACTGAACTAAACTCAATTGCACGTGAGTCACTATACCAGAACCTCTTGACACATTGAAGTTAATGCTTCTTTGATACCTTCCCAGTTTTCCTCCATAGTAGTTTCTTCTTCCTCCAGTAGATCCTGTAAGGCTTGGAACCTGTTGTTGAGAGCTATCTTGAATTCATTGAGTCTGTCAGTATCTCGAAGAAAGACTGTGTTGAACCTTTGTAGTGCTGTTTGTCCACTTGTCCAGTTCTTTTTCAGCTTCAGTTTTAAATTGGCCACAACTAGGTGGTGATGTGAAGCTACGTCAACACCTCTCCTGGTTCTCACATCTTCCATTGCCTTACGGAATTTTTTATTGATGACATTATGATCTATCTGGTTCTCTGTAGTGTGGTCCGGTGAGATCCATGTAGACTTGTGTATACGCTTGTGTGGAAATATTGTGCATTCTATGACCAATTTGTTGAATGCACATAGATTTGCAAATCTTTCCCCATTTTCGTTTCTCTCCCAGTCCATGTCGTCCCATAATATCTTCATATCCGGTGTTGTCTATTCCAACTTTGGCACTTAAATTTTCCATCAGAATGGTAAGGTCCTTTCTTGGGCATTTCTCTATGATTGACTGCAGCCGCTCGTAGAATTGATCTTTAATGTCGTCGTTGCTATCATTGGTGGGTGCACTACATTGGATAATATTCATTAAGATCCCCTTCTTCTTTGCTTCGAATGATGCTTTGATGATTCTGGATCCGTGAGATTTCCATCCTACAAGTGCATTTCGTGCTACTTTGGACAGCATTAGAGCAACTCTCTGAGTGTGTGGAGCATTTTCCTCTTCATGACCGGGTATAGTAGCATCTCTCCCGTACCTAGCCTATGTTGTCCAGCTTGAGTCCAATGGATTTCGCTGATTCCCAGTACTGCCAAGTTGTATCTCCTCATTTCCGTTGCTGTTTGACTGGACTTCCCCATTTCCCACATTGTTCGGATGTTTCATGTAGCTATCAAAATTTTTGCTCTGGTTGTAAGAAGGGGCATCGGCCTCGTGGCTTCCGAAGGAACTCGGCTTTCACCATGAAGCGTCATAATTCTTCTAAATGAAGAACTTCTCACTCTCAGGGCACAGTGTAAATGGTTTGAATTATTTTTTCGGTAAGCGTTTTTTAGCTAGTAAGTTTTCTACGGGATTAGGTCGCTAACCCCCTGCCCAACCCTCCTCCTTTACTCGGGCTTGGGACAGGCAGTGACTCTAGAAGAGCTACAGGCGGAGTTTAGTAGTTGTTACTACATGTTTATAACAAGATAGAGAAGAAACCATGGAGCATTAAATGATTGTCGAAATGGTTTCCCTCTTTTCATCAGTTGGTTTGCAAACCGATTTCACTCCAAAACCTGTTTTCTCTGTACTGTTATAGTACTTACTAGTAGTCAGAAGTGTTACTTAAAGGTGAAATAGTCAACTACATTAAAATCTGATAGGTTAATAAATGATAACAATACTGAATTGATAGTAGCCATGTTAGACATTCATTAGAATAATATATGTGGCTTAAGCCACATATTAGTCAGCAGTTGTCGGCCTTAGTAACTCACTACACGTCCAGTTGTTGTTTATTTTAATGACTGTCAAACGAAAGCGTTTAATATTTAGGTAGACGTCAAACTTGTTGTGACAGGATTTTAGATGTTTCATCTAGAAGTAAGATTTGTATATCTGTATTGACAGTTTTTGATTATTGAATATCACGATCGATATTCTCTCAATGTTAAAACACTGGTGAATTGTCATTATATCGTCTCAAATGATAGCTGATAAATCTCCTAAATGAACACTAAATTCAGTTTCCTAAGCTCTTCTAGTAACTTCCAGGTTATATATACACAGCAACTTGAACACGAGAGAAAAGACGCGAAATATGGATGGACGAAACACTGCATCAAGATTCGTTTATGTACAGAAAGTCTAGGATATTTATAGCATTTTAGATGACCTTGTACTTCCTGATAATTCTGGCATGCTAGTAAACATACTAGAAGAAGGATAGGTAATGATCTAATCAGAAAGGTGATATGTGACTTTTCACTTCCTAGATATTTCTGGCATCAGTTCTGTTGAATGCTGCTGATTGGATAAGATGCTTCTCACTGTTTTCAAAACCTTTTTGTTGGTTTTTTTGGAGGAATTCTGTAGAATTCCGCAACAATACAGTTAATTTCTAGAAACAGTAAGTTTATTTTCACTCCGATTCCAATTCATAACTACGTTTAGCAATTACACTAGAAAATTCTCTAAACGTTTGATGAAACATTAAAGTGTAAGATCCAAACTAATGTTTGGACTGAAGGATAGCTGTTTACGTGGGTTAGATAGGCGCCCTTGCTCGTTTGAAACCAAAACAAAGTAACCGGGCTGCAATCTGTCAAGGCATAGGCGGAAATGACGAAAAAACATCGTTCCTCACGTGGACTTCTTCTCACTTTGATGGAACTTTCCAATCCAACAGCACATAACCGACTGTTAATGGGGATCCAGTCGATTAGTGCTGCCTCAGCTCTAACGCTTAGTGCGACACTAACGCCAGCAAGACCAAACAAAGATGCATAGGGTCCTCGGATAAACGCACGTAAAACAAGTTTTTGAAGCGACAGATGGAGAGCGAATTTATAGTACTTCACCAGAGTCTTGTATACAGGCCTCAACTAAACAGCGAACGTCGATGTTAAGACTTTTACAAAGACATAGCCACCCCTATCTCTTGTCTGACCTGCATAGGTGTGCGAACGTTGAGGCAGCCAGTTTGAATGGTGCGCGTGGTTTCAGAAAAACCGCTTCAGTACTCGTATTTTGTGGTAGCATACAATATACAACCAGTAAGTGACTCAAAAACATTTAGGTAGAGTCGAATTCCCACCATAGGCGAGCCGCTGTTTCAGTCGAAAAATAAGGATTCACAAAGTGGGAATAAAAGGGAGTGAATAAATGACTTAGTAAATAATAATAATGATGTGAATCGTTTGACTGTTAATCGAAGCAAGAAAAGTAGTTTCCATAAATATTGACAGTTCATCATATTTGTGTGTGGGCTGTGATACTGCCCGGGTGCCAATATAGGAGCAGGTGGTTTTCTTAGAGAGCCACACCCAGAGTCTTTGACCTAAAGGTCTGACCGACAAGGCAGTGGAGCATCGTGAGTAGATGCAGTCCCTTGGTAGCCGGTGACCAACGATTGATTCATACGTCACATAGAAAATACACATTCGTACATGATCTAGCCAAAAGTGATTGTGTATGTGGGAGGCTGTAATTAACTGACTGGGCACAACTCAAGAACGGTATATCGTACAATAATAATGATCTATGAGTGAAAATATAGCTTATAATAGGATCAACATGAATATGACCTGATTCAATACATTCATTCCATCTGTGCTACATATCACATTTCTAAGATGTTTTGTATACTGGTGATCCAGTTATTTCTTTGTAAAGTCATCAGTTGGACTGGTTCTTTGGAGAAATCTCTATCGACAGAATCACCTATCATTCCCAATGTTTTGTTGTCGAACATTTTTCAGTGTACTTAGTTAAATGATCCATTAAAAGGTTCAGTATTGTCTATTTTAGTGGATATAAAATACAGCATCGCTTTCATGCTGGTTGTCTGAAAGAAACACCTTACTGCTGTCACACCTCTGTAAAGTCAACAGTACGACTTCGCCTTCGAACCTTGCGTTTGTTGCTTTTAGTCCTACCGCTCTTCAACCGACCTGTCTGACATGGTAGGACCTTGAGGAACGATTGTTCCAGCCAGTATAGCTCGGTTGCTTCATCACGATAGACAAGCCCGACCACCACGTCAAGGTAG